GTACTTTACAGGGTTGAGTGTGGTTATACTTAGCTTCGTGTTAACAGGTTTTTTCCTAGTTGTCTATGTGTTGCTTGCAAAACCCCTTTCAGGTGGGCCCAGCAGTGAGAAGAGATCGAGTTAGATTAGTCTCGTAGTCTGAGATGTTTAAACTCTAGTTATGTTGATGACTTTGTTTCCGGATTTAGACTCATGGTTATTATTATGGTTTTGAAGATGATGTAGACTTTTGGGGTGACTTTTTCCCCTTATGTTTTTCAGTATTTATTATGGAAGTTAGATATTTATTTTATTTCTAGTTCTACCCCTTAGCCTGTGCAATCACCACGGAGTGGTGGTTGTGGCGGTGACATCCCCACTAGTTATCTTTTTAGTTTTTAATTCCACTGCTTAGTTTATAATAGTTGTGGTTTAGATTTGTGATTAAGAGATAGAAAAAGTGGGGTGTTACACTTGTAGACCAAGAACACCTTCTTCAACCTCAAAGCAAGACCAAAGCTCCTCTAGATCAACCTAGCACTTCACCCACCACTAGATTTTCTACAAACTCCCAAAACCCACAAGGTAGAAGAAAGATTTAGAGAAAAGATGGTGGAATATTGTAAGGAAAAGGTAGGGAATGATAGATCTTATCATTGCTAGCCTTGTAGTGTTGGAAAGTTGGAATCTTGGCTTGGGATTTCTTGAAGAAATTGTGAAGATCAACTCTAGGATTTCCTAGAGAGAAGGAGGAGTAGGGGGCAAGAAAGAGATGTAGGGAGAAGGGAAATCCTGAAAAATGATTTGGATTCCTTGGTTAGGGTAGGGTTTTTATGCTAGCATTGTGTGAAATGACCAAAATGGCCCCTTCTTTCCAAAACTAGTTAGGAGAAAGACAAAGTCCAGGGTACAAGGGCTAAAGTCCAAGGTACAACTCATTGACCACATTAAAAGGATAAGGAATTTGGTCAACTAGGTAATTTCAAAATGAAATTAGGATAAGAATTGTAAAGCCACAAGGAATTAATTAAGGAATTGATTTGGTGCTACATATCTGTGTACTAATCCTATTTATCATGCTCGCACTAAACATGTTGAAATTGACTATCATTTTGTGAGAGACAGAGTTGCCAAGGGAGAGATTCAAGTCAACTTTATCTCCACCAAAGATCAACTTGCTAACATATTTCCAAAAGCTTTATCTGGTCCTAGGCTTTTTGTTTTTCAGAGACAAGCTACAGGTCACATATGTACCATGTGTTTGAGGGGGAGTACTAGGACTCTATCTATGTATTTGAGTCTACTTATGATTCCCAATCCTAGTGTCCCTAAGTGTGACACCCCAAAAATCCACATTCCAAGCCATGAATTAATTTAGTAATTAATTCTATTTCTTTTGAGGAATTGATTCCTAAAATCCTGATTTTTGATACTCAAGGACTAGAATTTGACTAGTCAATCTTTAAGTGGAGTTGTACCTTGTGCTTTGAGAGTAGTTCCCTTGTTCCCTACACTTTTTGAGAGTTAGTAAGGGTAACCTTGTCTTTTCACCATGAGCTAGTTCTTTGTAACCTAAACCTAAAAGACTACCTCATTTCATCCCTTTCATTCCATACAAAATATCTCCATCTTCTCTCTAGAAAACAAGAGTAGCTTGTTCTTCAAGCAAAAAAGAGCCTTTGTCAAGATTCCAAGTTTCGCTTCCAAGATTCAATCTTTCCTCTATTTTGGCATCTAGAAGGGTAAGATCTAAGCTTGTCTAGTCTTTTTGGTTCCATCTTAGTTGTCTTTTTGTTAAAGGTTGGATCTTTATGATCTTTTGGTTTGATCTTGAAGTGGGTTTAGCTTGTGAGCTTAGTGGAGGGCTTGTTGTGGTGTAAGAAGAGTTCTTTTGGTCTTCAAGAGGTAACCCATGCTCAACAAAACCTATTTTGCTTACCTATATATGATTTCTTGGCTTCTACATGTTCTTTGTTGTGAAATGTGAGAGTCTATGCATTTAGCTTGTGATATTGCATATCTAGAGCTTGTGTTTAGGTTTCCTTTGTGCCATTGCTTGGCATGTTCCTTGATTAAAGTCATTTTGTTGTGCTTGGTGAGATTTGGCATGTGTTGGACTTGAATTTGTGTTTGGAGGAGAAAATCCCCGAAGTGTGATGTTGTGGTACAGGGACGTACCCGCGGGCGGAACGGCGGGCGGGGCACCACCCGCCGGCCTACCCGCGGGAACGTGTGCCTGTGGGTTATGTACCCGCGGGTACACCACGGGTGGGGCTCTACCCGTGGGTCCACCCGCTGGGTACAAGTTGGTTTCGTGGTGGGATTTGTTCCCCGTTTTTTGTTTGTCTCGGTCTTTGATCTTTTGACCTTCCGTTGTTCTTTTGTGGATCTCTTTGAGCGTCTTCTTGATGTTTCGTAGGTCTAGAGCTTCTTGATAGGTATCCTTGTAGGATCTTTGGTGTTGTGAATCGTGCTAAGTGTTCAACATTGTGTTTCGTTGAACCGTGTGGTGTCTTGTGAGTTCCTCGGAACTATCTTGAGTTTCTTCTTTGTTGAGCTTGCTAGTTATTATCGTAATGCTAGCGTCGTTGTCGTCGTTGGGTAGTGACCATTCTGTTGTGAGTATGTTTCGTACCTTTTCTTGCACTCCGTTGTTTGTTCTGAGTGAGAGGTGTGCGTGTGTGGCTCTACCTGGATTGCACGACAGTGGTATGGGACGCTTGTCACCAAGGTATTGCAGCGGTCCTCGTGGTGGCCGTGACGTGAAATCATGGGGGAGGCTGAGACCTCGTGTATTGGGGAGATAACATTGTGTCATCCGGGCCTGAGTGCCAACAAATTGGTGGGTTTCCGTTGGTGCTTATAGGTGGGGAACGATGGTCCCGGAGGAACAAGGTTGGACTCAGAAGTACACAGGCTTTCCAGAGGTAATGGGTGGCATAGAAGGATAAGGTGGCGGTAGCCATAAGGTTGGAACATGGCATAAGGAAGGCATATCAACTCGTGATGGGTGATGTCACGAGGTGGGCTTGTGAAGCTGGTGTGTGGTGAGTTCTCTTCTATCGTGACGTGTGTAGTCACAGAGGTGTGTGTTTTGGCATGTGTTGCCGTTGTGTGAGTCGTTATCGTTGTGTGTGTGTGGTTGTCCTTTGTGGTTGGGATGTGTTCCCGGTGTTGTCCTTGTGAGTGGTGAGTCTTGTGTTGTCTCATGTTCTTGGTATTTAACTTATATATATGTATTCCGTTTCGAAAATGGTTTTCCTATTATATCTACCTATTTATGCTACTTAACGGTATTGGTGGGTTACCAGCATTATTCGCTGACCGGGCGTCGCCTCGATGTTTATCTTTGTATCTTTCAGGTGTTGAGCGCGATGTCTAGAGCCGGTAGATTAGTACCTGTTCCCGTAGACAGTGTTTTGTGGCATGTGTGCCCGTATATTAGACTTCTCTATGTTTAGTTGTTGTTTTGGGATTTTAGACACACTTGCAGATTGTCGCCAAAAGCGTATACCATGTGTGGTGTACGTGGCATAACACCCCGGATTATGGATGTTTTATATCCAAGTTATGTTTTATCTTCCGCTGTGCTAGTTGTGTACTTGATCTGCAGGTGTTAAGACTTGTTTATTAAGTCTCTTTTTGGGGGGGTGTTACAGTTGGTATCAGAGCCTAGGTTTAGAGCCTAGGAAGGGTTAAGTCTAGTCTTTCTAAGTGTTTATGTGTGATCTGAGACCTCTAAGCGACCTTAAGAAGCTAAGTGTTAGGCTTAGGACGCTAGGTTGCGCGGTGAGATGTGTGTTGTTTTCTGTCTTGCTTGCTTGCTTGCTTTTTGTGGTAACCTTGTTGTTGTAGCAGCTGTGCGATGCCTCCTTGTCCTCGCGCCCGTACCCCAGAGACTCCGACCAATGAGCAGCTTGCCCAGAATCTCCATCAGTTGACGCAGACGATGCAGTCTCCTAGTGAAGCTCTGTTGAACAACAATCAAGCTGTACCGCCTCCGCTTCCTGTTGAGCACCGTGATGTAGGTCGTTTAGTGTCCGGGCATCGTCCACCTTCCTTTGCTGGTGAAGAAGACCCTGTAGTCCTTGAAGAGTGGCTACGGGCGTTTGATAAGATTTTTGTTGTGGTTGGTTGTCCTGAAGAAAGGAGAATAGAACTGGCAACGTTCTATTTCTGCCAAGAAGCTGATCTGTGGTGGATTCACGAGAGTTCGGTCTTTCTTGAAGAGCCTGGGTTTGATTGGACATCGCTCAAGGATAAGATGCGCGAAAGGTTCTACCCGGCGCACGTGAGAGCCGCTATGTTTGATGAGTTCCTTCATCTTCAGCAAGGACCTTTATCTGTGGTGGAGTACCACAAGAAGTTCCTAGAGTTAGCGCGTTTCGCGAGGATGTTGGTGCCTACGGAGCTTGCCAAAGTTGAGCGTTTCGTTGCCGGTCTGAATTATGAGGCACGAAAGGCGTTGACAGTGACTAGACCCAGTTCCCTCAAGGATGCGTATCTGTGTGTCACAGATCTGTTTTGTGTTCAGCAGCTTCAGTCGCTTGAGTTGGCTAGGAAGAGAGTTGAGAGTGGTGGTTCTTTTGCTTTCAAGAAGTCCCGTCAGAGTTTTCCGGCTAGAGTTGTGTCTTCTTCTTCTCAAGGGCCCGTTAGGATGGAGCCTTCGGTTCAAGCTAAGTCGGTTGTTTATCGCAAGTGTGGGAAGGTGCACCCGGGATCAGTTTGTTTAGGCCAAGTGTATAAGTGTTTTCGCTGTGGGGTTGTTGGTCATAGAGTTGCGGAGTGTCCTCAGTTTGTCGGTCAGAGAGCGTTACCGCCGCCCCCGGGAGTAGTAGGAGCACCAGGAGGGAGTTCGAGTCGTGGAGCCGTTGGAGTTAGGCCGCCGGGGAGAGTTTTCGTAATGGCGCGTTCGTAGGCGGAGTCGGAGGGTTTGGTGGAGGAGGAGTTAGCAGGTAACCCTTGTTGTTGAGCCTATCCTTGTTTTTTTCGTGAGTGTTTTGTTCCCTTGTTGCCTTTTGTTCCCTTGTTGCCTTTTGTTTCCTTTGTTGCCTTTTTGTCCTTGGTTGCCCTTTTGTTCTTTGTTGCCTTGGGAGTTATCTTGTGTTCCGTGGTTGTCTTTGCTTGGCAATCCTTGGCTTTTTTCCTTGCTTGTTCTTCGTTGGATGCTTAGTATAGACTCTTTTCTTGCTAAGTGTTTTCCTTAGTTGGCATCTTGTTTCGTGGTAGCCACCTATCCTTGAGTTATCTTGTGCTTAGCCCAATTCTTTCACCTTTGCACTTGGTTGTTCTTACAACAATTCCTTGTGTCTTTCCCTAAATTTTCCAAGTATTCTTTGATTTGGAAAAAATAGCCTTTCCTACCCAAAATTTTCCTTGTGTAGCCTAAAAGTTGAGCCTAATGTTTCTTTATAACCTTTGAGTTTCGAACCTTAGCCAATTTCTTTCCTACCCATCTTCCAAACCACTTGAGCTAATTATCTTCCTTGGAATTTAACCCATTTTAATTCCTTTTGAGCCTTGAAATCCCTCTTTGTTCAAAATCCCCAATTTAATCATCTTTTTCCCCAATCTCACCCAAATCCCTAATCTCTTTCCCCAAGTTCTCTTCTTCTTCCTCCCTACCCGTGAGCTACCCGAGCCACCCACCCCGTCGCACCACCTGCCCGTCACCGCCGGAGCCTCGCCGTGTCGCCGAAGCCGGAGCTCGCCGTCGTCGTCCGCTGTAGCCGTGTCGCCGAGAGAGCCCAAGAGAGAGAGAGAGAGCTCGAGAGAGAGAGACAGTTGTGAGTGTTGTTGAAGAAGGAGTTGTGAGTTTGTTTGTTGAGCTTTGGATCATCTTTCACCATGCCTAGAAGGTCAAGTTTGGCAAGAAAAGCGGAATGGGTGGATGCCCACTACCTTGTGCTTGAAGGTAAAGCTTTTGACCCGGAATCTTTTTCAAGTTCTTTGTTGGATTTGCATAAGTTTCAAGGTTTGTTGGATGGTTTTCTCGCCATAAGGGCCGAGACTTACCCGAGTTTGGTAAATGAGTTTTATCGTCACATGGTTGTGACAAAGGAAGGTGAAAGGCTTGAGATCACCTCTAAGGTGAGAGGTGTGAAGGTTGTGTTGTCTGAGAAGAGGTTAGCCCAGTTGTTGAGTCTGTCTGCTACCGGAGTAGCTCAGTACAGTGGTCACTCTTGGATTAGTACGGATACCATGAGGTACTGTGACTATTTGAGTTATTTGTTTGGCCGTACGAGTGGTTACACTCAAGCTTCGAGGCCGGAAAGGAAGTGGTTGTCTGCGGAACAAAGGATCTTGGTTATGTTGGTGTCAGATTGCTTGTTGCCCAATAATAACAAGAGCAGTTTGTTGGGTAAGTTGGAGTCTACCTTTGCTTTCTGTTTGAAGAATATGGTTAAGTTCAATCTGCCTGCTTTGATGATGCAACACATGGTGTTTTGCCGGGATCACAACCGGAAGAGTTTGCCGTATGGGATGGTGCTAAGTTGGATTTTGGTCAAGAAAGGTGTTAGTGTGGATGGTTGTTCTCCAAAAACTGTGGGAAAGATGGTGTTGGATACCGCTAATCTCCGGAGTTGTAATCTTTTTCAGTTGGATGATGGAGAGTACATCACGCTTGAAGAGGTTGCTAGGAAAGCACCTGTTGAGAGAGCAGAGTTAGCTGCTGAGCTTGGGATCCATGCTAGGAAGTTGAGCCTTGCAGTTCAGAATTTGGGTGGTAATGAAGAAGTTGAGGAAGAAGCTGATCAAGAAGAAGGAGCACCGGAAACCGCTGAGGCTTAAGTAAGTCAATCAGATAGTGAGGAAAGTCGGAGAAGGAGAGAAGTCCGCACCAAAATAGATCAGGATGTCGCTTCTTTGCTTCGTCAGCAGAACAGTTTGATCGCCGAGGGTTTTGCGTTTGTGAGATCGCAGTTTGCTGCAGTGCATCAAAGGTTAGATCAGTTTGAAGCTAGTTCTAGTCACCGAGTTGAAGCCGAAGAGGAAGAGTCTGAAGAAGCATCAGAGTCTGAGAGTGAAGAGTTCTAGTGGTGTTGTGGTAACCCCGTTTGTTTCTCATTTTCTTTTTCTTGGTTGTTTCTTAGCTTTTGTAGCTTGGTGTTTGCTTGTTATGTGCCTTGTGTGTGTTTGCTTGTTTGGCTTGTTGCTTTGTTTCTTAGCTAGTTTGCTAGTGGTGCTTGAGTTAGTTGTTTAGTCTTGGGTTGTTGTTTAGCTAGCTTATCTAGTTGGTGTTTGGGTTAGTGTATGAGTTCTTGGTTATAGGCTAGAAGTTGGTTGTTGTGTTGAGGATTAGAGTTCTTGATGCCAATCTATCCGTTTTGTTGACCTCTTGCCTATCCTTGTTTCGTAATGTCTTTTCTTTTGCTTTGGAACCCTTGTGAGAACTTTTGGAGTTGTTGACCAAAAGGGATATTCTTGAAACTCTTGTCACAATTTTGTTTCCTTGTTACCTTTCGTTTCAATTCGTTGTACCCAAGTTTCGGGGACGAAACTTCTTTGAAGGGGGAGAGGATGTGACACCCCAAAAATCCACATTCCATGCCATGAATTAATTTAGTAATTAATTCTATTTCTTTTGAGGAATTGATTCCTAAAATCCTGATTTTTGATACTCAAGGACTAGAATTTGACTAGTCAATCTTTAAGTGGAGTTGTACCTTGTGCTTTGAGAGTAGTTCCCTTGTTCCCTACACTTTTTGAGAGTTAGTAAGGGTAACCTTGTCTTTTCACCATGAGCTAGTTCTTTGTAACCTAAACCTAAAAGACTACCTCATTTCATCCCTTACATTCCATACAAAATATCTCCATCTTCTCTCTAGAAAACAAGAGTAGCTTGTTCTTCAAGCCAAAAAGAGCCTTTGTCAAGATTCCAAGTTTTTCTTCCAAGATTCAATCTTTCCTCTATTTTGGCATCTAGAAGGGTAAGATCTAAGCTTGTCTAGTCTTTTTGGTTCCATCTTAGTTGTCTTTTTGTTAAAGGTTGGATCTTTATGATCTTTTGGTTTGATCTTGAAGTGGGTTTAGCTTGTGAGCTTAGTGGAGAGCTTGTTGTGGTGTAAGAAGAGTTCTTTTGGTCTTCAAGAGGTAACCCATGCTCAACAAAACCTATTTTGCTTACCTATATATGATTTCTTGGCTTCTACATGTTCTTTGTTGTGAAATGTGAGAGTCTATGCATTTATCTTGTGATATTGCATATCTAGAGCTTGTGTTTAGGTTTCCTTTGTGCCACTGCTTGGCATGTTCCTTGATTCAAGTCATTTTGTTGTGCTTGGTGAGATTTGGCATGTGTTGGACTTGAATTTGTGTTTGGAGGAGAAAATCCCCGAAGTGTGATGTTGTGGTACAGGGACGTACCCGCGAGCGGAATGGCGGGCGGGGCACCACCCGCCAGCCTACCCGCGGGAACGTGTGCCTATGGGTTATGTACCCGCGGGTACACCACGGGTGGGGCACTACCCGTGGGTCCACCTGCAGGGTACAAGTTGGTTTCGTGGTGGGATTTGTTCCCCGTGTTTTGTTTGTCTCGACCTTTGATCTTTTGACCTTCCGTTGTTCTTTTGTGGATCTCTTTGAGCGTCTTCTTGATGTTTCGTAGGTCTAGAGCTTCTTGATAGGTATCCTTGTAGGATCTTTGGTGTTGTGAATCGTGCTAAGTGTTCAACATTGTGTTTCGTTGAACTGTGTTGTGTCTTGTGAGTTTCTCGGAACTATCTTCGGTTTCTTCTTTGTTGAGTTTGCTAGTTATTATCGTAATGCTAGCGTCGTTGTCGTCGTTGGGTAGTGACCCTTCTCTTGTGAGTATGTTTCGTACCTTTTCTTGCAATCCGTTGTTTGTTCTGAGTGAGAGGTGTGCGTGTGTGGCTCTACCTGGATTGCACGACAGTGGTATGGGACGCTTGTCACCAAGGTATTGTAGCGGTCCTTGTGGTGGCCGTGACGTGAAATCATGGGAGAGGCTGAGACCTCGTGTATTGGGGAGATAACATTGTGTTATCCGGGCCTGAGTGCCAACAAATTGGTGGGTTTCCGTTGGTGGTTATAGGTGGGGGACGACGGTCCCGGAGGAACAAGGTTGGACTCAAAAGTTCAGGGGCTTTCCAGAGGTACTGGGTGGCACAGAAGGATATGGTGGGGGTAGCCATAAGGTTGGAACATGGCATAAGGAAGGCATATCAACTCATGATGGGTGATGTCACGAGGTGGGCTTGTGAAGCCGGTGTGTGGTGAGTTCTCTTCTCTCGTGACGTGTGTAGTTACGGAGGTTTGTGTTTTGGCACGTGTTGCCGTTGTTTGAGTCGTTATCGTTGTGTGTGTGTGGTTGTCCTTTGTGGTTGTGATGTGTTCCCGGTGTTGTCCTTGTGAGTGGTGAGTCTTGTGTTGTCTCATGATCTTGGTTTTCAACTTATATATATATATTCCGTTTCGAAAATGGTTTTCCTATTATATCTACCTATTTATGATACTTAACGGTATGGTGGGTTACCAACATTATTCGCTGACCGGGCGTCGCCCCGATGTTTATCTTTGTATCTTTCAGGTGTTGAGCGCGATGTCTAGAGCCGGTAGATTAGTACCTATTCCCGTAGACAGTGTTTTGTGGCCTGCGTGCCCGTATCTTAGACTTCTCTATGTTTAGTTGTTGTTTTGGGATTATAGACACACTTGCAGATTGTCGCCGAAAGCGTGTACCATGTGTGGTGTACGTCGCATAACAGCCCGGATTATGGATGTTTTATATCCAAGTTATGTTTTATCTTCCGCTGTGCTAGTTGTGTACTTGATCTGCAGGTGTTAAGACTTGTCTTTATGTCTCTCTTTTTTTTTGGGGGGGGGGGGGGGGTGTTACACTAAGTCTGCTCTTGTATATATACCTAGGTCTTGTACTCTTGTAATTTATCACTGTTAATACAATTCATTACAGTTCTCATCATATACACAGTACACACATGTATACAATACTTAGCATTACTTGATATTGTTGTCACTCATCAGTAACATTATTTGTAGGTTTAAATGAAGAAAAACAGTTTTTAAAAAACATGTAGTGTTGGTTTTTGGGTTTTTAGGCCCAAGGAGGTCCAACACAACCTTAGTTGGTGGATATACCTTTCAACAAAATTGCTAGGAGTAGAACGGAAAAGGAGTATTTGTCGGAATGTGTCTCTCTATTCTCTTGGCATGGATCCGCCTCGATTGCAAGGGCGGAGGGGCCTTTATAGAGTAGGCTCCCTTCTGGCCAAATTGAAACACATTAAAGACTGCCTTCATGGCTATTTAAAGAATAAGGCTGTTTGGGCGCCATTACGGGGCCGGCCAACGGCTCTTTGGACTTCTAACGGTCCGCATGGGCGAGTCCTCTTGAATGTGGCTCTTGAATGCTTCCTAACGGCTGCTGGGCCGAGTCTCCTTTAATGCGGCTCTTGAATGCTTCCTAACGGCTCCTGGACCGAGTCTCCTTTCCCACATGAGCCTGGGTCGACTCCTGGACCCGGCCCAGGCCACCACTGGGCTTTTTCATTATTGACCCATGTCTTCCCTTCTGGACTCTTTCTCTCTGGGCCCATCTTCTTGGGCCGGGGTCCTCACCCCATCAACTAGTCCCTCACTTTCTCATATCCGGTCCACTAACTCGGGTGTGGGAAAGTAGTAACAGTTCTTCGTCCTAATCACCGGATTTTCTCATTGAATTTCCCCGTAATGCCCTGATTTTTTGCCATCCTTCCGGATTCACCGGAGTTGTTTGGATTCTTCCTCCCTTCTGGTGAATCCTATAAGTAGCATCTTGGCTTATTCACGTTATCTCACTGATCAGTCATGGGTCGCTCGCCTTTGAAGGGAAAGCGGACAGACTTTGGGTTGCCTCGACGCCCTCTACCTTCCAAGCGATCCAGGCCTGAGAGGGAGAACAAGAAGAAGACCACTCGATCAACTTCCCGAAGACCTTCCACGGGTGCCACTTCTTCGACTCCGCAGCCACCGATCCCTACTTCCTCTCTCACGGCTGACGTTTCGTCTTCTGCCGATGTGTTACCTCCGACTATGGCCAGGGTCACTATGCAGGACGTGTCTTTTGTTGAAGTGGTCGTCCCGAAGCAATTATCCTTTCGCATGACTTTCACTATTCCACTCGACGATTTTGCTTGATACCTGGAGCTGTATCTGGATGACGAGGAGCCGGTAGTGCCGCCGATCATGCCAGCTTTTTGGGACTCTTTCTGCCCATCTCCCACTGGACCATCACGGGAGATGTTCTTCAAGAGCGACTCTTCTTCACCGGACGAGGGACTGTCTTGACGGGGATCTGCCTCCGTGTTTCCAAGAGGGCCACAAAAGGAGCACTTTATTTATCTTTAGTACAATGTAATAAGCTCCTTTCTTTATGTGCTGTTTCTCTTGATTAATAATATTACTCTTTATTTTCGGGACCTAAGCTTTCTTACTTGTCCGAGTATGTTGGTCGACTTTCTTAGGAGCCGGTCAACTGACAAGCTTCTAAAGTCTGACACCTGCGATCCTTTATTTTGAGGAGATCTTTACTTTTTCAGTCTAGCGTGCGAATCTTTCTCTTCCCGAGCGCCGTTGATGGAACTATTCTCTGAAAAAGGTTCTCGAATCTTTGTCTAATCCTGCGCTATGACAGTTATGATTCTTTCCATGATTTTCGCCTGGATACTCGCTCCTTTGGGGCTATTTAAGGGCATCTTATGCTTGTGCTCCATACTACTCTTTATTTTAGAAATCTTTGATCATGAGCTATAGGGTCGGTGACCGTCGCTTCTCCATCCGTAAGAAGAAACAGGCTCGCCTGGAAGAGCTATGGCAGAAGAGACTGGCCAACGGTGGGCATCTGGTGGGCGACTCGACCTCTGATCCCATTGTTGTGTCTCCAGACATGCTGGATCTGGCTCCCGTGAAGCCGGCCAAGTGCCAAGTGGAACCGTCGGTGGACGACTCAGGTCCAGAGGAGGAGGAGGTGTGGGAGGTTCCCCCTTTCATTGGTGTGGCCATGTCTCCAGGTGCCCTAGAGAGGCCTCTGCAGATGATTGACGATAGGAAGCCTACCGTTTATCTGGATGACGTGCAGGAGCCGGAGCCGACTCCTCCGCTACTCCGTCCTTAGTTTTTCCTGGAAGGTCCACCCTCTGTCCGCCCTGCGAAGGAGGAGACCAAGCCATAATTTGCTTTTCCCTTGTACTCTCTTGGCCGAGATGTAGGCTTTTGTTTCCTTTTAATCAATAAATTGTCGTTTTTATCGTTCTATTATGCGAATTTTTTATTATCTTCTGCATCTCGTCGACCGACTCCTTGCCCTTTTATCCTATCTCTATTTTCCCGGGGTCGACGCAGACCTATCCATCCGACTCCCAGACCCGATTTTTTTGCCGGATGGTGTTTATGCTGACTAAGGGGCTCGGCCCACTGATTCCTTCGAGATACCTTCGACCCATATTCGGAGGGCCCAGAGGCCATGGCCTACAATGGGCCTCCTACCAACAGGCCGGGTCACCGCTGCCCGTCTCTGGCCTAGGGTAGACGCGCCGTTTGCAGGCTAACCCTAGGCCTGAACCGTCACTCCGTTTTCCAAAGGCATTAAATGCAAACGTCTCTTCACCTCTTGTCACCCTTTCTTTTCCCCAATGAGCGCGCGACACGTGGCTGATCTTTGGAATTCTCCCCATTTAAATACCTTCTCCTTCCCTCTTCTTTCCCCTTCTTCCATACTTCCCAAAAAAAACTCTCGAGACCCATCCAGATTTCCCCTGCGCTTCTCTCTCCGTCGGACTCTCAGGTTGGTATTATGTCATCTTCCTTTACTTCTTCTTCTTCCCGTCGTTCGGCGGGGTCTCCTGCTTCGACGTCCTCGTCTTCTTCCCCTTCTTCCTCCTCTAGCCCTCGCCGTATGGAGATTCCGTCAGGTCTCCCATAAGCATCTTCCTCTCAACCGACCCCTTCTTCTTCGGGGGCGGTTACTCCTCTTATGACGGTGGCGGCTCTTCCTGATGGTGCCGGACGGCCGCGGGGCAAATTTGACTCCATCGTCCGGCCGTCGGGGCTTCCGTCGCAAATCTCTGCGGCGGATCTCGACATGGCCCGTTTCCTCTTAGGGCCTTTGGCCCTTGTTTACTCTCCGGAAATCCGGCCCATATATGACCTGTAACACCCCGTGTTACGAGTCCTAAAACCAATTAATTAATTAACCATCTACCCGGAAAGAAAAGAAATAAATCACATTGATTAATTAGCTTTGAGCCCACCATAGTTCGTGGACCCCCATCCCTAAACCCCAATACCTAATCCTAGGAGAATTAAACCCCATGGCATATAAATAGGGAACTTAGAAGGCATCTAGAATCCCCACCACAATAATCTCTCACCACCCAAAGAGCTCCAAGAATTCCCCTAGGAGGAATCAAGAAATCAAGAAAGCTTAAAGAAAGATCCTTCATAGCCAAGGAATTAATTAAGGCTAAGAGGTAACCCATGTCTCAACAAAACCTATTTTCATAGTTATGATTTCCCTTAGGGTTTCCCCCATATTATTGTGAATGGCGAATTATTGTGATTATTATTGATGTTGATATAATGATTCCATGAGGAATCTTGATGATCTTGATATTGGGAGTTTCTTCATAATTATGATGTTCTTGATGATTAAATTGGGATTTTTGATGATTGTGTGTTGTTCTTGGTAATTATGGTGTTCTTGATGATTAATTGGGATCCTTGAGGATTATGTGTTGTTCTTACCGAATCTTGCAATTAGAAGACGAATCGTATTCTTGTTGATATAAAAGTGATTAGAACCCTAGGTTGTACCGTATGCTTTGATTCTTGGATTGTCGGGTGGGGAAATCGCATGTTGGGAGTTGATTATGTTTAGAAAAGCATGATAGGTTATGTGGCGTTCGTTTCTCGTATTTGATCCGTTAATTGTCTACGTGTTGACGTTAATTACGTTGTAAAGTGTCTAAGCATGGTTTCGGGTTCCACGACGGTTCCCGGGGCGAAAAGTGATGAAAAGAGTCAGTGGGGGGTAGGGGACCCGCCACCTACCCGCGGCAATTTGGGCAGCGGCCAGCCGGCGGGCGGGCAGCTGCCCGCCGGGCACCCGCTACCCGGAACAGTGACAGCCGGCGGGTGGACCCCCACCCACCAGCTACCCGCTGGAATTTCTCTCACCTCGGGATCCCGGCTTCACCGTTTGATGTTTCCCCGATCCCCGTGGTGTCCCAACGGACCCCGTTGGTCGTGCCTATGTCTAGTTTGATGTTTCGGGTACCGTTCGTAGGCTTATGAGTCCGTTATATCGCATGCTAGTTGAATTGGTATCCCGTTGACCTAGGTGAAAGAAGTATGAACCCCTTAGGACTATTCCTAGTATGTGATGGATCACGCATAAGTTTGTTACACGCTTTATCCCCCTTCCCAATGTGTAATATGGGTTGCATGTGCTTGCTATGTGTTATGTGTGTGTGTTACCCCAATTCGGTTGCGATCGGATTGGTTATCCTGAGCTGCGGTTCAGAAGCTGGCTGCGGTCAGATGACATTCTCCTGGGCTGCGGTCCACCGTTTGGTTGCGATCAAACGTTTCTATACGAGCTGCGGTTCGTCCTCTTTCTTGGCTGCGGTTAGATGACATTCTCTTGGGCTGCGGTCCACTGTTTGGTTGCGATCAAACACTATGATGAGCTGCGGTTCATCGGTCGGTTGCGATCGACCCCTCCGTGTTGCGATACGGGGCAGGGTGCTGCGGGGCCGTGTCAGAGCTATATGCGCTGACCCTCATGTATGGGCATGCGATTGGTCCTGTGGCGCCAACAAAGTGTGCTATGTGTTGTGATATGGATGAGTTGTGATTATGAGTATCTTGGGGGATGTGACTATGGGTTTCATTTTGGGGATTGTCTATGATGGGTTATGATTACTGCTTATGCTTCGCCTTATTTGCCTTATCTATTATGAACTGCTTATGACTGTTCTAACTGTTGCTTATGTCCGGCCTTATCTATCGAGTCACTCCCGGTTTTAAAGCTAGAGTTCGTAAGATATATCTTCATGCTCAAATGGTTTTCGTATATCTATATATATTGCTATATGTATTGTATTTCAACGCGTTGGAGTGGGTTACCAGCATCTCTCGCTGAACAGATATATTTGGCTTTCAGGCACAGAAGATTAAGTCACTGGAGCGCGCTAGAACTCGGAGTGTAGGAGTAGATAGTTTCCCTTTTGGCCTGCGTGCCACGTTTACATATTTACGCTTGAGGATATTAGTTGGTTAGCCTGTGCACTTGGGTTCTCTAGCCTAGGTGTGGCATAGCACCCCGAACGCTTGTATTTATACCTTGGGATTTAATAAGATTTCACCTTTATTATAAGTTTTAAATGTCTTGAAAATCTGGGGTGTTACAGTTGGTATCAGAGCCTAAGTTTGACCCTAGGAAAAGACTCTAAAGACCGGGCTTTAGGACATTAGGCTTGAACTCTAGGTACTTAGGAACATAGGGCTTAGGGATCCTAGGACGCGCGGTGAGATTGTGAAACCTACACATAACCTCCCCTCACTTCATCCCTCTCTAATATTAAAAATCTCTACTCCACTTAGTGTATCAAGGTGAAACACAAAATAACATCAACCTTTAATCACCAGGATGGCACCCAAGAAGAAACAGACAGGAACACCGAGACATCCCTCTCAAGAAATCTTGACTCAAACCCTACAGCGCCTAACCCAAATTGCCCAGGCACTAAGTACTATCGTTCCCCAACCTTCGCCAACAGACGAGAACTTGGAAATCCACCACCAAGTCTCGGCACACCAACCACCCACCCTCTCGGGGGACGAAGACCCCACCATCCTCGAGGAATGGATTGGGACACTCGACAAGGTATTCAGGACAACCCAATGCCCCGAACGCCACCGGGTCAGGATAGCCTCCTTCTACTTTAGACACGAGGCCGACAGCTGGTGGGCCCGCGAGGGACCCATGTACGAACAGGACCCCGAATTCAACTGGGAAGGCCTAAAAATGCGGTTACGAGAACAGTTCTACCCCAGCCACCTGAAAGCCGCCATGTGCGAGGAATTTCTCAATCTAAGACAGGGGACGGCCCCGGTCTCAGAATACTACCAACAATTCTGCCGACTGGCTCGCCTCACCCCCGAACTAGTACCCACCGAAGGGATCAAAGTCAGGAAATTCCTAACAGGCCTTACGCCCGAACACCAGAGGGCTTTGGCTACCCAAGGACCGAAGACCCTCGGAGAAGCCTATGCCAAGATATGTCAGCTACAACAGGTAGCGAACCCGCCTCCAGGGACGCAACTAAGGTATAAAAGGAAACCCGAGAGAAGTCATCCAATTCTCGCCAAGGAACCTAAGAACCCCAAAACCGCCCCACTTGACCAAACCATCGCGCCGACTAACTGGGGAAGGATCCTCACCTTAAGCAAGGCCAGGATCGGAGATAGCAACATAGTCTCCGGAACCTTCCTAGTACACGCCACCCCAGCCACTGTACTGTTCGACTCAGGGGCTACCAACTCGTTTATCGCAACCGAATTCGCCGCCCAGCTCGGCCTTAACACCAGCACCAAGGTCCGACTCCAAGTCAAGGTGGCCTCAGGCGAGATCATAAAATGTGATCGCATGTATGAGCATGTAATGATCACCATTCAAGGAGTGGAATTTCCCAGTAACCTGATCCAGTTTCAATTAGATGGGATGCACGTAATCTTGGGCATGGATTGGCTAGGGAAGTTCCAAGCGCAAATCCTGTGCGGAGAACAGAAAGTGGTCCTACGAGGACCAAACGGTAAGAGGGTGTCGTACCGCAGTGCCCGCCAGGATCCAGGGATCAAGCTGATAAACATGATGAAAGTTAAGAAGTATCTGGGCCAAGGAAACGAGGCATTCTTATGCTCAGTCGAAGACCTCAAAGCCAAAACACTCGAGCCACGAGCCATCCCAGTGGTAAACGAGTTCACCGATGTCTTCCCAGACGAAATCCCCGGGGCACCCCCGGCCAGGGAAGTCGAGTTCACCATAGACCTCGTACCAGGCGCCGCCCCGATCTCTAAACCACCCTACAGGCTAGCGCCAAAGGAAATGAAGGAACTGAAAACGCAGCTCCAAGAACTGCTAGATAAGGGTTACATCCGACCCAGCACCTCCCCATGGGGAGCACCGGTACTATTCGTTAAGAAAAAGGATGGGAGCATGCGCCTATGCATCGACTACCGGGAACTCAACCAAGTTACTATAAAGAATAGGTACCCCCTTCCCCGAATAGATGACTTATTTGACCAACTCAAAGGGGCAGGGGTATTCTCAAAGATCGACCTAAGATCCGAGTATCACCAAATCCAAGTGGCCAAACCAGACATCCAGAAGACGGCCTTCCGGACACGTTACGGCCACTACGAGTTTACCGTAACGCCTTTCGGCCTCACTAACGCGCCTGCCATATTCATGGACCTCATGAATCGAGTATTCCGACCTCACCTGGATGACTTCGTCATTGTGTTCATTGACGACATCCTAGTCTACTCCCGGAACAAAGAAGAACATGAGAAACACCTTCGCATATCTCTGCAAACCCTCAGAGAAAACCAACTTTACGCTAAATTCTCCAAGTGCGAATTCTGGCAAGACAGTGTAGCCTTCTTGGGCCACGTGATAACCAAAGAAGGGATTAGAGTGGATCCCGCTAAGGTCCGCGCCGTTAAAGAATGGACCACACCGAACTCACTCTCGGAAGTTCGAAGCTTCCTAGGTCTAGCTGGCTACTACAGGAGGTTCGTACCCGACTTCACCAAGATAGCCCAACCCCTCATTAAGCTCATGAAAAAGGAAACCCCCTTCCGTTGGGACAACGGCTGCATCTCGGCCTTCCAAGAATTAAAGGATAAGCTAACCACCGCACCCGTGCTAGCCATACCCTCCGGGACGGAGGGGTTTGAAGTCTACAGCGACGCATCCAAGAAGGGGTTAGGATGCGTACTAATGCAAAAGGGCAAGGTAATAGCCTACGCGTCCAGGCAGCTCAAAACCCACTAAGAGAATTACCCCACCCATGACCTCGAGCTAGCCGCTATCGTATTCGCGCTGAAAATCTGGAGGCACTACCTGTATGGGGTACAATGCAAGATCTACACCGACCATAAGAGCCTAAAGTACATCTTTACTCAAAAAGACCTAAACATGAGACAACGAAGATGGCTGGAACTCATAAAGGACTACGACCTAGACATTCAATACCACGAAGGAAAGGCCAACGTGGTAGCAGATGCCCTAAGCCGCAAGACGAACCATTCCCTTAACACCACATGGGTCCTACCGGACCACCTGTACAAGGACTTCCAAAGGCTACACTTGGAAATAATAGAGCAGGGACAAACTCGCCCCAATGCCTATCTACTCAACACGCAGGCCGTGCCCACCCTCTTCGATGAAATCAAATCGGGACAACAACAGGACCCGGAACTAGATAAAATCCGCCACGATCTAACTCAAGGGAAAGAGGGCCCCTTCGAAGCACACCCAGACGGCAGCCTCCGCTACAAAGGAAGGTGGTGTGTACCCTCAACGCGCCCCCACTTGAAACAGCAAATCTTGGAGGAAGGACACAACTCCCCTTACTCAGTTCACCCAGGTGGTGACAAATTATACCAAGACGTAAAGAAGTAGTTTTGGTGGCCGAATATGAAAAAGGAAATCGCGGACTTTGTGGCCAAGTGTCTGAATTGCCAAAGAGTAAAAGCCGAACGATGCAAACCCAAGGGACTCGTGCAACCCCTTGAAATACCACAAGGAAAATGGGATTCCATATCCATGGACTTCGTCGGAGGGCTACCCCCAACGAAAACCGGCAAGGATAAGATCTGGGTCATAGTGGATCGACTGACCAAGACAGCGCGATTCATTGCCATGAAGGAAACATGGACAATGACGCAACTGGCCCAAGCCTACATAAACCGGGTAGTGAAATACCACGGAGTTCCCCGAAACATTGTGTCCGACCGAGATTCCAGGTTCCTCTCGCAGTTCTGGAAATCACTACAAGCGGCGTTGGGAACGCAACTAAAACTAAGCACAGCCTTTCACCCCACCACAGACGGCCAAACCGAAAGAACCATCCAAACCCTCGAAGACATGCTAAGAGCCTGCACGCTCGACTTTCGAGGGACGTGGGAAGAACACCTAGACCTCATCGAGTTCTCGTACAACAACAGCTACCACGCGAGCATTCGCATGGCACCCTACGAAGCACTATACGGTCAGAAATGTAGAACCCCCTTGTGTTGGGAGGAAATGGTCAACCCGGTAACACTGGGCCCCCAATACCTACAAGACACCATAGCCAAGGTAAAACACATCCGGGAAAGGATGAAGGCCGCCCAAGACCGCCAGAAGTCTTACGCCGACCTAAGAAGGAAGCAAGCCGAATTCGACCTCGGGGACAAGGTTTGGCTAAGGATCTCACCCACACGAGGAGTAATGAGGTTCGGAAGGAAAGGGAAACTCAGCCCCCGATTCATCGGCCCCTACGAAATCATAGAAAGAATCGGGGACTTGGCCTACCACCTCGCTCTACCCATCGAATTAGAACGAGTACACAACGTGTTCCACGTGTCTCAACTAAAGAAATACATACACGATCCCAGCCACATACTCCAACCCGAGGTTGTAGACCTCGACGAGTCACTGATCTACGAAGAGAAACCCGTAAGAATCCTGGACACCAAGACGAGAAACACCCGGAACCGCGCCATAGAAATGGTGAAAGTCCTCTGGACCAACCACGGGACCGAAGAAGCAACATGGGAACTTAAGGACACGATGAAGGAGCGGTATCTCGAGCTTTTCACACCAGGTAACTAAGGGAAAATCTTTCATCAAGGGCCAAGCTTCGGGGACGAAGCTTCCTGTTAAGGTGGGGAGAGTGTAACACCCCGTGTTACGAGTCCTAAAACCAATTAATTAATTAACCATCTACCCGGAAAGAAAAGAAATAAATCACATTGATTAATTAGCTTTGAGCCCACCATAGTTCGTGGACCCCCATCCCTAAAGCCCAATACCTAATCCTAGGAGAATTAAACCCCATGGCATATAAATAGGGAACTTAGAAGGCATCTAGAATCCCCACCACAATAATCTCTCACCACCCAAAGAGCTCCAAGAATTCCCCTAGGAGGAATCAAGAAATCAAGAAAGCTTAAAGAAAGATCCTTCATAGCCAAGGAATTAATTAAGGCTAAGAGGTAACCCATGTCTCAACAAAACCTATTTTCATAGTTATGATTTCCCTTAGGGTTTCCCCCATATTATTGTGAATGGCGAATTATTGTGATTATTATTGATGTTGATATAATGATTCCATGAGGAATCTTGATGATCTTGATATTGGGAGTTTCTTGATAATTATGATGTTCTTGATGATTAAATTGGGATTCTTGATGATTGTGTGTTGTTCTTGGTAATTATGGTGTTCTTGATGATTAATTGGGATCCTTGAGGATTATGTGTTGTTCTTACCGAATCTTGCAATTAGAAGACGAATCGTATTCTTGTTGATATAAAAGTGATTAGAACCCTAGGTTGAACCGTATGCTTTGATTCTTGAATTGTCGGGTGGGGAAATCGCATGTTGGGAGTTGATTATGTTTAGAAAAGCATGATAGGTTATGTGGCGTTCGTTTCTCGTATTTGATCCGTTAATTGTCTACGTGTTGCCGTTAATTACGTTGTAAAGTGTCTAAGCATGGTTTCGGGTTCCACGACGGTTCCCGGGGCGAAAAGTGATGAAAAGAGTCAGTGGGGGGTAGGTGGGGGGTAGGGGACCCGCCACCTACCCGCGGAAATTCGGGCAGCTCCGGCAGCGGGCAGCCGGCGGGCGGGCAGCTGCCCGCCGGGCACCCGCTGCCCGGAACAGTGACAGCCGGCGGGCAGCCGGCGGGTGGACCCCCACCCACCGGCTACCCGCTGGAATTTCTCTCACCTCGGGATCCCGGCTTCCCCGTTTGATGTTTCCCCGATCCCCGTGGTGTCCCAACGGACCCCGTTGGTCGTGCCTATGTCTAGTTTGATGTTTCGGGTACCGTTCGTAGGCTTATGAGTCCGTTATATCGCATGCTAGTTGAATTGGTATCCCGTTGACCTAGGTGAAAGAAGTATGAACCCCTTAGGACTATTCCTAGTATGTGATGGATCACGCATAGGTTTGTTACACGCTTTATCCCCCTTCCCAATGTGTAATGTGGGTTGCATGTGCTTGCTATGTGTTATGTGTGTGTGTTACCCCAATTCGGTTGCGATCGGATTGGTTATCCTGAGCTGCGGTTCAGAAGCTGGCTGCGGTCAGATGGGTATTCCTGGCTGCGGTCAGATGACATTCTACTGGGCTGCGGTCCACCGTTTGGTTGCGATCAAACGTTTCTATACGAGCTGCGGTTCGTCCTCTTTCCTGGCTGCGGTCAGATGACATTCTCTTGGGCTGCGGTCCACTGTTTGGTTGCGATCAAACACTATGATGAGCTGCGGTTCATCGGTCGGTTGCGATCGACCCCTCCGTGTTGCGATACGGGGCAGGGTGCTGTGGGGCCGTGTCAGAGCTATATGCGCTGACCCTCATGTATGGGCATGCGATTGGTCCTGTGGCGCCAACAAAGTGTGCTATGTGTTGTGATATGGATGAGTTGTGATTATGAGTATCTTGGGGGATGTGACTATGGGTTTCATTTTGGGGATTGTCTATGATGGGTTATGATTACTGCTTATGCTTCGCCTTATTTGCCTTATCTATTATGAACTGCTTATGACTGTTCTAACTGTTGCTTATGTCCGGCCTTATCTATCGAGTCACTCCCGGTTTTAAAGCTAGAGTTCGTAAGATATATCTTCATGCTCAAATGGTTTTCGTATATCTATATATATTGCTATATGTATTGTATTTCAACGCGTTGGAGTGGGTTACCAGCATCTCTCACTGAACAGATATATTTGGCTTTCAGGCACAGAAGATTAAGACACTGGAGCGCGCTAGAACTCGGAGTGTAGGAGTAGATAGTTTCCCTTTTGGCCTGCGTGCCACGTTTACGTATTTACGCTTGAGGATATTAGTTGGTTAGCCTGTGCACTTGGGTTCTCTCGCCCAGGTGTGGCATAGCACCCCGAACGCTTGTATTTATACTTTGGGATTTAATAAGATTTCACCTTTATTATAAGTTTTAAATGTCTTGAAAATCTGGGGTGTTACATGACCCACCAAAGGGTTGTGTGGGTTTCCATCTGCACTCGGTATCCTTTAGCTTCTGAGTGCCTCCTTCTCCATTTCTTTCTCTCTTCTATCGTCATTATAACCTGGTTCCGGGTCAGCTAGTGCCCAACTCACACCATCTTCTTACCTGTTTCATCAACCTATGCCACTAGTGGCTTTGCGAGCCAGACTTGGACCTCTTTCGGTACCTGTTCACCGTGAACAAAGTCGGTTCGCACTTGCCGGGTTTTGTCTAAGTTGCCGCCCGTCCCGGGCGTCAGCTTTTCGAGGGTCATCCAGATTCTATTAAGGACTGGAAGCCCTTTTACTTCTTTGTTCGTCCTTCCTTCACTCCTTTTACCTTCCCGACCCTGTGGCCAGCTGCCCTATTCAAGCCCTGCCATCGGCGCGCTGTCTTCACCCAGGACGCGATCCAGGGTGGCGAGTTCTTGAGAAGCTGGGACCTTACTCTGTCAAGTACTGGTCTCGGGTTCGTGCTATGGCGAAACGGGGCCTACTGCCAGCCGACGCGGCCACCTTAGGTAGTTTTTCCATGACCTTTTCCCTTCTCTGTTTCCTTGTGACCCGACTGCAAACACTTGCCTTTTTTCCCTTTTCCACAGGTCCTTACGACTCCGACTCCACCAGCTCAGACGAAGCCGAGGATCCTACTCCTGAAATGGCTGACCGTGCCGAGAAGATGAGGCGTCGACTGTCTTAGCGTACTTCGGGTGCCGCCACGGCTTCCTCATCTTTCCCTTTTCCATCCCCGAGGTCGACTCCGCCACCGCCGAGAAATGTGGTGCATTTGACGCCGTCTCCGGTTTCTCCCTCTCCCCATGGTTTCCACACCAAGTCCCTCATTCGAGGCGACTCCTTTTGTCTTTTTCTTTACTTAGAAACGGTTTAGGGTCAGTGCCTCGTTATTTCTCTGATTTCTCGCCGAGTCCCTCAATTGAGGCGACTACTTTTGGCTTTTTAACGGAAACGACTAAGGGTCTGGGCCCTTGTTTCATATCTTTCTCGCCGAGTCCCTCAGTCGAGGTGACTACTTTCGGCTTTTTCACGGAAATAACTAAGGGTCTGGGCCCTTATTCCCTATCTTTCTCGTCGAGTCCCTCAATCGAGGCGACCCCTTAGGCTTTTTCTTTACTTAGAAACGGTTTAGGGTCAGTGCCCTGTTGTTTCTTTGATTTCTCGCCGAGTCCCTCAGTCGAGGCGACTACTTTTGGCTTTTTCACGAAAACGACTAAGGGTCTGGCCCTTGTTTCCTATCTTTCTTGCCGAGTCCCTCAGTCGAGGCGACCCCTTAGGCTTTTTCTTTACTTAGAAAAGGTTTAGGATCAGTGCCCCGTTATTTCTTTGATTTCTTGCCGAGTCCCTCAGTCGAGGCGACTACTTTTGGCTTTTTCACAGAAGCGACTAAGGGTCTGGGCCCTTGTTTCCTATCTTTCTCGCGGAGTCCCTAAGTCGAGGCGACTACTTTTGGCTTTTTCACGGAAACGACTAAGGGTCTGGGCCCTTGTTTCCTATCTTTCTCGCCGAGTCCCTTAGTCAAGGCGACCCCTTAGCCTTTTTCTTTACTTAGAAACGGTTTCGGGTCAGTGCCCTGTTGTTTCTTTGATTTCTCGCCGAGTCCCTCAGTCAAGGCCACTACTTTTGGCTTTTTCACTGAAACGACTAAGGGTCTAGGCCCTTGTTTCCTATCTTTCTCACCGAGTCCCTCAGTTGAGGCGACCCCTTAGGCTTTTTCTATACTTAGAAACGGTATAGGGTTAGTGCCCCGTTGTTTCTTTGATTTCTCGCCGAGTCCCTCAGTCGAGGCGACTACTTTTAGCTTTTTCTTCGGGGGCGGTTACTCCTCTTACGACGGTGGCGGCTCTTCCTGATGGTGCCGGACGGCCGCGGGGCAAATTTGACTCCATCGTCCGGCCGTCGGGGCTTCCGTCGCAAATCTCTGCGGCGGATCTCGACATGGCCCGTTTCCTCTTAGGGCCTTCGTCCCTTGTTTACTCTCCGGAAATCCGGTCCATATATGACCCGCCAAAGGGTTGTGTGGGTATCCATCTGCACTCGGTAGCCTTTGGCTTCTGAGTGCCTCCTTCTCCATTTCTTTCTCTCTTCTATCGTCATTATAACCTGGTTCCGGGTCAGCTAGTGCCCAACTCACACCATCTTCTTACCTGTTTCATCAACCTATGCCACTGGTGGCTTTGCGAGCCAGACTTGGACCTCTTTCGGTACCTGTTCACCGTGAACAAAGTCGGTTCGCACTTGCCGGGTTTTGTCCAAGTTACCGCCCGTCCCGGGCGTCAGCTTTTCGAGGGTCATCCAGATTCTATTAAGAACTGGAAGCACTTTTACTTCTTTGTTCGTCCTTCCTTCACTCCTTTTACCTTCCCGAACCTATGGCCGGCGGCCCTATTCAAG